TCGAACCAACAGCAGAATTGCATCACGAGATTCACCAAATAAGAACACACCAAGAGTTCATAATTGACAATGCTGAAATAGTCCCATCATCATCATCAACGAAGAACCAGAGTTGATATCCTATCTGGCGCTCGGCGCCCAGACTACATGTGGCAGATCCTATCTAGTCTATACTACAATGCCGAAGTTGACGACAACAGCTCTCCCGAAGTACGAGCATACAGCGACTAATGTCGCACGATTCGAGCACCAGGTATGTCTCTCGCCTTACTCACAACCTCGTTCCCCAACACACAGATGCCACTTGCACCCAAGGACCACCCTGCGCCACACCCAGCTTACAGCAGCGCAGCTCGGCTATGGCTGTCTGCTCCTTCCCTGCTCGCCCGTGAGAGCGTAGGCGCCAGCCAGCAATTAGCGCAGCAGCGCTTGCGCAGCATGCAGCCAGCACCCGAATGCCGAATGCGGAGGCAGGCCCTTTGCTATATCGAAGTGGCCTGCCTGCGTCCAGTCCCAGGAAGCTTCCAGTAGGCCCTCGTAGCCTGAGGCCCAGCACGAACGAGAACAGGCCTTGGGCCTGAGGTGGTTGCATGCACCCAACTGCCGTTGGCCTGTGTTTGGCCCAGTACCGGTATCCAACCCAGGGCCTGCTTTCCATACATTCACACAGGCGGCCCAGGGCCTGGATTTTCTCAACCAACTGGCACTGCACAACTGCCTGGATTTCCTTGAGTTGCATGGTGGCCAGAATGGGGCTCTGAGGGCCTCGTCGAGCCTGCCTTCACTTAGGGCGGCCGACTGGCTACGAAATGGGGCCTTATGGGGCTCATAGAGGCAGTGGCCTCGCATTTACTTATTTATTGATTTATTTAGGTAACATCCACCAGGGCAAAACATATTGCGGGTGCTGGTGATATGAGCATCCCACAATAACAGCCATGCTGACGACTGTTCCGTTCTAGCCGGCCCCAGCATCCACCATCATCATTATCATTATCATTATCATTATCATCGTGACCACTGATCATCGACGACAACCATAACTAACCATGAATATTCCTTGAATTTTGCAAAACAACAGTAACTTCTTTTTTTTCTTGTTTTTTTTGGCAAAACAACAACAACTTCCATTCCATGCAGGGTGTATCGGAAGAAGAAAAAGAAAAAAAGCAAAAAAAAAACATAGGGCCGCCCTTGAGATTTTTCTCAAGTCCAAGGTAGCTGGAACGAGGCCCTATATGAACAACAATGAAACCAAAAGCTGCTACGAACGGGCAGTAGTACCCACTCCTACTCAGCGACTCTTGCTCTGGCATGAAGTCACCACACGCAACTTTTTGTTTTGTTTTGTTTTGTTTTTTCTTCTTTTCTTTTCTTTAACCAGAATAGGCAACTTTAGCATTTCCGGAAATGGAGCAAAAACGGCGACGCTAAATCTAAATCTGCAAACCCTCTGCCATGGTTAATGAATGACGGGAGCAGTTTTATAACCCCGCTAAATTAAAACTTGCACATTTGGAAACTCACACCATGACACCGGCGCCGCTTTGTCTTTTTACAGAAGCCCCATCTACTCTGGGGGGTGGCAGTCCCGTCCCTTATCACTGGCAAGCCAAGAGAAACCAATGTTTTTTACAGAAGGAAAGAACAACTATGAGGGATTTTTTGTGTGGAAGAGTCCGGTTTGGGTATTCACGTGTTATCCTATTGTGGAGGGATTGATTGCTTGCACTTCGGTTTGTGCTCTTGTACGTGTGAAATGGGATCGCTGTATGGCCTTTGCAGCTTTTCTGTTCCATCCAACACGGATGCATATTCTATTAAAAATTAAAAAAAAAAAGAAAAAAAAAAAAAACCTCCCTCTGGCACTTCCAAGCTGTGTGCGGAGTTGGCTGCTGACATGCTCACCGGTTAATTGCCTGATATACATTTCTTTAATTGGGCACATAATTTGATCTCTTTGAAAGGTTGTGTGGGAAGGCAGGGACAGCGCAGAGGGAGGATGTCCGACAGACGGGATGTGAACTCTTGCTCTGCTCATCAATGAGAGAAAAAAAGATGAGGTAAAAGGCAGACTTCCAAACGAGAGAGAGAGAGAGAGAGAGAGAGAGAGAGAGAGAGAGA